CCCGGTTCTGAGAAAAGACGAGTGTCGGGCAGTACAGAGTTACGAAACAGGGCCCGGTTCTGAGAAAAGACGGGACAGGACAGAATGACCCGGTTCCTAAGGGACAGCGGCCTCCTGGTGAGAACTGCTGTTTCTGGGTCGGTGTGATGTGCCGAGCGAATCGGACCGGACCGGTGAGTTTGTTCATCTGTCAGAGCTGTAGCGTGAGGTGCAGTTTATTGTTATAATCTAACAGTATAGGAGCTTGTCAGTAGTACAACAGTATCCGCTGATATTTAACAACATGCTTTGGGGTGCAGAGACGTTTCAAAGGGGAGACAGAGCTGCGACCTCACGGCTGAGATTCCCATTGGGGGGGGGGCAGTCTGTGGGGAGTCGGCCTGTTCCCCCCGAGTTTGTGAGAGTTTGTCTGCTGGGTGTGATTGCGGATTGGGGAGTCAGTCTGTGGGGAGTCTGCATGTTCTGTGTAGGATTGTCTGCTGGGTGTGATTCAGGATGAGGAGTCAGTCTGGGTGGAATCTGTGTATTCTATCTGAATTTGTGTAAGACTGTCGGCTGGGTGTGATTTCGGATTGGGGGGAGTCTGCATGTTCTCCCCGAGTTTCTCTGCTGGTGCTTCAGATTCCTCCCAGCCCCCAGAGACGAGCTGACTTCGTGAAATGGAGTCTTAAATTGTCCTTGCGTGTGTGTATGAGTGTGAGCGTGTGAATGTGCAGATTTACTCACATGTAGGCGCATACGTGTGCAGTATATATGCATATCGAAGACATTCAGCATTCGTGCTCGTTCTGCTACAAAATGAAACTCCTCTAGATGTGTTTCTGTGCTCCAGACAGTCAGGGTCTCATGAACTGTGGTGTGGATTTCGTGTCCTGTGTCTGATCTAACTACAGTGGGAACAGTGTGGGACTCTGGCAGATTGGCCAAGTTGAACAGTCTGATTTTGTACTGTATATGGCCACAAACCCTTTCTGAGCAATCCTGTATGTTTTTGTAAGGAAAGATTTCCAATCTACACACTTACAAGCCTGTTGCTGTCCTTGAGAAAATGGGCTTTATTGCAGTAAAGCTCCTGTCTTTACTGCAATAAAGAAGCCTCCAGTCGTGTGGTTTCCTGACAAGGGTCTAACAGTGTGTTTGTGCAAGTCAGACTTCAGTCTCAGCAGACCCCTCTGGGACCTGTGTGTGCCCTCATCTGTCATTGCAGGATGCAGAGATCTACAATCTCATTTCAGAATTTCTTTTCATTCTGCTACGGATCATTTTACTATGTATAATTCTCCCATTTCAGTTCAGGGACTGAGCTGAGCCAGTTACTGTCCTCATGAGCCCAGATTCACTCTCGCCCTGTACAGACCAGCGCCGAGCTCAGCCGGATGTCCCTCTGTCTCCCCCCTCCCTCTCCAGCACGTGGGGGAAATATCGCCCAGGCCCTGACTCAGAGCCCGGCTCTGACTTGCTCGTCCCCGGCTCTGTACACAACACAGTTTTTCTCTCCCTCCTCCTCCTCTGTCTTGTTCTCTGCTGCCCTGCTGGGGCAGCCCAGGGCGCGCAGGAGCTCCAGCAGGTTGCGGCGGAACTTGACGCCCACGAAGGCGTAGAGGATGGGGTTGAGGCAGCAGTGCAGGTAGCCCAGCGAGGAGGTGGCCACCAGGGAGATGTCCAGGGCCGTGCGCCGGCCGTGGCTGTCGCTGATGTTGCTCTGGGAGTGGAGCGTGTCGGCCAGCAGGGTCAGGTTGTAGGGCGTCCAGCACAGGAAGAAGGCCACCACCAGGGCCAGGATGATCCGGATGGCCTTCTGCTTCTGGGC